TAACAGTTCTTTTTTTTTTAAAAAAAAATGCTATATGTGTCTGTCCATATATATTATCTAAACTATGCACCCCAAACCCATCCCCGAGGCATCTTTGATTAACAACGCACAGATAGCTGAGGGTGAAAAATAATCATTACAAGTATATGCCTTTGAGGGATAAGAAAAACTACAAAACTATTATGTGGTGTGCCCTCTCTCTGACTAGCTGCGTATTGCTAGTCGCCAGCTCGCAACCACAAGAAAAATCAGTATCTTTTCGAAACAGACGACAAACTCCGCCAGGTTATTCCGACACCTCTTTTTAAATTCAGCGAGTGTCTAAGAAATGTATTATTCTTTGAAGAAAAATACACATCCCCTACCTTATAAAGAGAATAGCTTTAGCTACAGTTGGTTCAGTTCCTTGCAGAAAATTAAGACAACTGATCATGCTTGCCATTTCCTGAGTAACATGCATCTGTAGAGATCATCTGTAGCAACCTGCCATCCCCACCCCCCCACCCCTCCGAACTGTATCAGGCTGTAGGAATATTGACAGCTCTGAATAATTAGATAGAGTAAGGGTCATGTAGTAACAGTAGGATTTCTCAATTTTCTTTTTTTGCTCTTTTTCTTTTTTCGAGACAGGCTCAAACTACTAACTGATAGTTTTATATATACAACTCTAGTGCCACACTATGGGAATTCATGGTTATTGCTAGCCACGCAATCCCCAGGAAAAGGCTAGGCTGAAGAGATAGCATGTTGAGGACATGGTCCTATAGAGGCTCATTATTAGGGCCAGCAAGTCCAACCCTAGACTAACCTGAAAATATCTGATCAGAGGACTGCAGGAAACAGTAGGCACCTTCACCCAATGGGCACAGTTATAGCATCCCTGTTAACTAGCTGCATCTTACTAATCTCAGAGTTGATCCCTTGTTTTGACAAAAAGGTTGTTCAGAATCTCATGAAGCAGTGGTGTGCAGGGAAAAAACACACACACACACACACACACACACACACACACACACACACACAGATAATTGCCTCATGGTCCTACTGCAGCTAAAACAATGAAGGACTTCTGGAGAGCTTTCACAGACCTGGCACTTGTGTAAAAGAAGAATGGGGTACAAATCAATTAACAGCCCAGCAGTGAAGGATCCTGGATAGGTATAATTTTAAATGAAGCAAAAAATGAGAAAAAAAGAAGGGAGCTGTGCTAGCAAGGAGGACTAAATGCAGAACAACTGGGCACTGAAAGAAAACCAACAAGATCCTGCATGAATGAGTCAAAGATAGCAACGGGGAACCAGGGGGAAAGGAGAGAGAAAGAGGAGAATTGTAAACCCCTGGAATAGTAAATCACTCGTTTAGGTATCTGTCCAGCACTCCACTCAACCCAGCCAAACAGCACAGAGCTAGGGGGGAGGTTTCTCTGTCCTCAGACTCAGTGCTTTTGCTGAGGGGAGAAAAAAAAATCAGGACGATATCTAGCTAGTTAGCTATTTCCTCCCAATGAACTGATTTCCTCCTATCCTAGTTGGTGCCCCCAGTTGGTAAAACTCTTTGGTGTCCATTGTACGATACCTCAGGAGCATAAGGTGCTGATGGTCTTTCTGAGTCTCCTTGGAGGAAGTCTGCCTTACATAATAAAATCAGTGTTGCATTTCAAATACAACATAAAGTTTACACACAAAAAAAGAGAGACAGCTTCCCCTCCCACCCCCCACGCGTACACACACACACACACACACCAACCCCTTTTGGCCATGTTGCATGAGGCACATTCGGGCAAACCTTATTTAGAAACATTGGGAAATTGGGAACCCCTCAGTATTAAAGGAAGAAAAGAACAAAATGTTTTTCTTCCCCTTCCTTCCCCCCATTACACAAAGCCAGACCCTATACAAGACCACAGCAGAAATAAACTTCAGTTTTAAACTGAATCCTTTGCTTTGGATATGCTCCAAAGGCAGTTTCAGAAGCAGGGAGAGGGTTAAACCTAATCTTTTTTTTTAAATCTATTTTGACCTTTCCTAAGTTTAAAACTACATATTTGGCTAAAAATATACACCTGTATCACGCTGAGGCCAAACAGCTAATGCTTAAAAGCACCGCAATCGGAACTGTTTGAGGAGAGGAATCACAGAAGTGCTTCCATTTACATGTAAGAAATCCCTAAATCTATTTTATAGGCTGTAGGCAAACATTGGGTGGAGAAATAATGAACTAAGATGCACACATTAAAAAAAAGTGACGGCATTTTTCTTGGTCCTCTCGCATTTGGGACACACTGATCTGATCCTTTGACGATGGGGAGTAAAATAAGAAACAAAACCACCTTTTTATGAACCCAGACTGTAAAATTGTTGCTCCCATAGGATATACAGTACCTGGAAACTTTATCTTCCTGTGGAGATATACGGCAACAAACCTGACCCTTGCACGGTCTATAAAGGAGGATCTCCTCCTCCCACCCAAACCACACACACACACACACACACACACACACACACATAGAATATAAACCCCTCCAAATGCAAGAGAATGAAATCTGAATCAAGCAGCAAGGGGGAGGGGGAATGCTCCCAAAGTTGCCAGCTTCCTCCATTGCACTCACCGGTTGCTGAAGCAGCCAACAGCCCCAAGGAGAGCAGCAGAACCCGGCTCCAGTAGCTTACTTCCACCGTCATGAGAGCAAAGATCCCCAATTTCCCCCAATTCCTTCTAAAGCCGCAGCTGCATCCCGTCCTGTCCCATCCCAAAGAAGGTTGCATGTCAAGGGGTGGTGGGGTTTTGTTTTCCTCTCCCCTTTACAATTGGGATGGTCCTCGGATCGGCTGGAGGAAGAGGAGGAAGGAAGGGGGGGTGGGGGAGGTCAGGATGATGATTAGGATTATTATTTTAGCTCGGAAAAAAATCCCAATGCATGGAAGGCTCTGAGCTTCTGCAGCTGGAATGAACCAACTCTCGCACTGGCTTGGGGAGAGGAGGGCTGGCTCTTTTTTTTTCCCTCCCCCTCCCTCCCTTCCTTCCTTTTTCCCCCCACACTTAAAAAATGCCTATCTTGGATCAAGCTTTTCAGGATTAGCAGCACAAGGTTCCCAGGGAATTACACTTTTTGATCAGCACCATCAGCATCCAGGTGACTAATCACCTCCACATCCTTGTTCTCTTCTTCCTTAAATCGTGGGAAAGGGGGTACTTCAGCTGTGTTATTTTGGCGGAGGGGTTGTGTGTATGTGTATAGACAGTATCTGATTCAAGATTTTTATTCCACCCCTACTCCCCTTTCCCTCCATCCTCCCAGAAACAATAAACCACACATTATGTTTTAGGATCCCATTTATTTGTTCATGTTAATACCCACCCCAGGTTTCTTCTCCTTTATAGAAGCAATTCCCCGCAGATTCCTCTTCATCCACAGATAAAATGTCCAATCGGCAGCTCTCCTTGGCGTTCACATATCCGTTAGAATAAATCTGGCATGCATCACCCTCCATATCCCGGCTTTTGGGGGGGCTGTGTAAACAACTTGATGATATGGACACTTTTTATGACCAAGGAAATTGGGTTACAAACACAGGAGGGCTTGCAAGGGGGGGGGGATACCCCAGAGAAAGCCCCCCCCCACTCGCTTTGCAATTGTTACTTTTCCCAGTAGCATGCGCTCCTGGGGAGAGATTACGTTCTGACCAGTGGGACTGGTTGTAGGGAAGGAGGGGGGGGGGAAATGTTTGGAGAGTGGGGGGGGACTTTGCGTCACCCCTTCCCAAATCATCGCATGTTCCTTCTCACTGGGCTGGCTGCTTCGCTGCCTCTTTGCAGAGCTGCCAGGAGGAAGGTTTGGGCTTTTTTTTTTTTTTTTTTTTGCATGGACTAGCACATTTGCCTCTACGGTTGCATGCAAAAATAATAATAATAATAAAAAAAATGCCAGTCTGTTAAAGCCACATTCGGGCACTTCGCAATGATGTGCAGCTCCGTGGGGGCTCATCCGCGACACACCACACATTAGAAACCCCACACCCCTTTGCCCCCTTTCGCAGTCACAGTTTGAAGCTCAGTCCCTTTGGGCAAACGCAGGAGACCCCCCCCCCCAGTTATCTGCGGATTCAGTTCAGCCTTCCGCGTGGAAGGGATCGGACTAGATCCGAGGGGGGATCTTAACTGCAGGTTTTACTCCCCCCCCCCGGAGAAGGGGGTGCGGGTGCATGGGAAAGGCAGAGAGACATGCCTAGAGAAGGGAGGACACACACACACACCAGAGCCGAGGCTTTCACACTGCCTTGGCATCCAGAACATGCACCACTGCGAAAGAGGAAGGGCTGCTGCTGATTTTCTCATTGCAACCTCCAAAGCTGCAACACATGGAGGCGGGGTGGGGGGGGGACCGGTCCAAAGGCACCACTGATGAGTGCTGCTACTCCAGAATTAACTGCGATCCCTGCCTCCCTCGGCTCGCCTCTGAAGTGACTGGAGAGGGGGCGGAAGAAAGAGGGTGGGTTTTTGAACTAGTAACCCATCCCCCCCTACGTTATTGCTTTGCATTTGCTGCAGTTCCTTGCTGCAAAACCCCCTTCTTCAGACTTGTTACGGTTGCCTTGAATGAGCTCATCTGACAGCTAGAAAACAATTTATACCCAGGGCTGGTAAATCTCTCCCTCCACCCCCGAAACAATCCTCTCTCTCACCCGCACTTTCTCTCGGTCCCCTCTGCTTTTCAATCCCTCCACTGCCTACACCGGGAGCCGATGCCAAAAGCCAAAGCAACCAGGGCTGGGACATGAAAGAGTCGCTTTATGTCTGTTTCAACTGCAGTGTCCTATTCAAATAGACCTTATTGTTCCAAGGCAGAGAGCCAGCTAGAAAAGGATCCGAGAGGAGGGTACTCCACTGCGCAGCTCCATCCCTCCCTGGCCCCTTATACAGATAATGCAAAGAACCCCCCCGACATCGCATTCAGCTGAATATGTGACTTGCTTCACACAGGTAATAGGATGAGACAAAGACGACTAACAAGGGATCAAGAACAATATGCAGGCATAATAAAGTCTTTGGGGAGGTACACTCCCACTTTATTCCTGCTTAGTAAAATCATATCTTTTTCCAAATCAACTCTCCCCCCCCCCTTTAAAAAAAAAGTCTTCCTCACAGCAATGCTGGGCTTAAGGTCTCCATCTCTCTTAAAAGATTTACATATATTTGGTGACTGGTAAAGAGAAGTTGTGTTGTGGCAGAAGCCATCAGGGTTAATGTTGCTCGCCCCTCATCTGAAAGAGAGTGTGTGTGTGTGTGCACGCGCGTGCGCTGGTTAACTCGGATCTTAACCTCCACTGCACAGCTGATCCACTTGCTAAATTACCTTCACAGTAGACTAGACACAGGATTTTGCCATTCTAACCACCCACTAAGGAGCGGGGACCTTTTGCTCCGCACTGCCACCCACAGTCAGACCCCAGGCTCAAAACCTGCCTGATGCGGACATGCAAACACCTGTTGTATCCCATCATTTCCCCACACAGAGCCAAAGTCATGTAAATGACTGTGATTCCACACACACACACCCCGCAAAACACAGTAATAAAACGTCTGTAAGCCACGGATCCTGGTATGATTTACAAGTGTTAGGACTTGTCTTCACGTACAGCGGTGAAGCTGCACCAGTGTAGCACTTGAGTGAAGATGCTACTACACCGACAGGAGAGCTTCTCTCGTCAACGTAGTTAATCCACCTACAGAAGAGGCGGTAGCTATGTCAATGGGAATCCTAGTGCTGTCTACACCGGGGGTTGGTGGGTATAACGACCTCGCTCAGGGGTGTGGATTTTTCATCCCCCTGTGCAATATAGTTAGACCAATACAGGTCTAATGTAGACCTGGGCTTAGTTAGTCCTCACAATGATTGTCTGGAGGTAGGAAGTATTTGCTCCATTTTACAGATTGGGAAACAGAGACACAGGAAGGAGAAAGAACTTTCCCAGGATCACAAAGGGAATTGTGCCAAAACCGGGATCATCATCTAGGAGTTCTGACACCACGTCCCCTTACTGCTGCTAGAGAAAACTCCAGCCTACATATACAGTCACGGTGGCTATGAATGAGGAGTCCTAGAATTCATCTGAGCTGGTGATCTTAGACTATTTCTCCAAGATAAAAAGCAGCACAATTAGCAAGTCTCCATAGGGATCTGAAAGGTGTTTGGATAAATAAAATAAATCCCCAACATGTACTTTGTTAACCAAACACGGTTGCTGTGGGTGAAAAGAGCAGCATTTAGCCGGGCAGAAAGTATTAGCCAACAGCCGCATACATAGAATAATCTCTCTGATTATACAGAAGCTGCAGTCACTGTGGCTTTGCATAGGTATTATAGAAAAGTCCACTTTTTATATTAGACTACACATGGAGCGGAGATTTCAAAGGAAGATGCAACAGCTACAGTAATAAAAAAATCTACGCACAAGTGTTGCACCTGAAGATGTACAAAGGCACTTTTACATGTAAAAATTTGACTTTTGCCTGACTCCCACCCCCCCCCCTTTTTTTTGCACACTCAGACACATGATGCACACACAGACGTAGGGGCTTTGGACTCACAACTGCCAAATAACTTTTTGCAGATATAACCAGTGCTTCTGAAGTTTGGCCTGTGCTGGCTTCCTTCTTCCCAGTCATATTCCACTGCTCTCCCCAAACCGAAATGTGTTTAACTATAGCTGATAAACCTGTCCACAGGTACAACCTCATTTAATAATTCCTGCACCTCATGGCCTTAAATATCAGCAGGAACAGGGCTTGGGAGCAATAAAAATCTTCATTAGCTGTAGCAGTATTAAGGATTGTCTCCTCCGTCAGGCTGTAGCCACTCCCAGCTGCAGTGTAGTAGATATACCCTCAATCACAAGGTTGGGCCAGCAAAAGGCAGTGGTCACATACACAAGTCAGCACGCGGCAATAGAAATTGCTGGACCAGATCATGCTGCATCAGTTAGTGGCTAGCGCTCAATACTTCAAAGGGAACGTTAAGAGGAAAAAAATATAGTTCCCAAGGCAAAAATCCCATATCCAGACACCCCCAAATGTTGGCAAATTCTGAAACTTTGTTTCTTGGCCCATCTGCAGAACAAGAGGCGAGTTGGCTAGCTGTACTCCTGTTCCTTGGATTAGAGAAACAGAGGCAAACAGCAGGACAAGAGATCCATATCTCCCCGCTCTCAGTCCCACACATGCATACCCTCTCCCAAATAAGTCTTCCGGTCTCTTTGCTTCAGTTTATTTCCATGAGAGAAGGATAAGGAGGGGACCTGATATGGGGTAGGAGAAGGGACACAGCTGAGGGGAGACCCCTCACCGTCAGCAGAGACACCTTGGGGGTAACTCCTTCTATGCACCAGGGGTACGTCAAATATAAAGAACAGATGAAGGAAGGAGGAGGGGGAGGTTAATATATGGACCTGAGAATACATGGAGTCTGGAAGTGGTAGCAATTACATGGAGATTGGTCCCAGAGGCTGCTCACAGCCTTGCTGGGGGGGGGGGGAAACATGTGGCTCCTTCTATTTCTTCCTTTGGGTGGTGCTGGCATCCCTACAGCTGTTTCCGCTTGTTGTCCTTCATACCAGTTGCCAGGCCCAGGGGTTCTATGGTTACCAAGTTACCATGGTTTGTTGCTTTTCATTCCATTCTGTACCCACAAAAACACTTTGTTTAAAAAAAAAAGTTGTCTTTTGGTCCCTGGGTGGGAAGAGACTGAAAGATGCTCACAGGTGGTAGTGGGCTCCAGGATCCGACGATAAGCCCTAAGGGACCATTTCCTCTAGGACCTTTCCCAAGACACATCTGGATCCACCACAACACCCCTCAAGACAGCTTGGACAAAGCCTGTCACGAGATCTGGAAACGCGTTCAAGGTCTTTCTGAAGAGCTCCAGCCTAGGTCAACGTCCCCA